CAGTCTTCATCTCCTAAAGTGACTGCTAACTGGTCAAGTATCTACCATTGGAAGCAGCAGACAGAGCATCAAACCACAGAGATCTCTCCACCTTTCTACAGATACCCACAGAGATCTCTCATTCATCAAAGAGGGAGAAAACAGGATGAATATCTCATTGTCTATTTTAAATGAATTATACAAGTGAGTCACCCTATCTTAGGTAGGACCAAAGAACTAGGCCCTGCCAGTTGAACCAAGTTAGTCAAAACATCTTAATAGATGCCTAAGTGGTCCTTCTGTGTGTTAACTGGATAGAATGTTAACCAACAAAAGAGGGAAATTGTGTTAACTAGTCCAAAGGCACATTGACCCAGGCTATGTCTTTGCAGGAGATGTAACACTATCCTGAAGAAGGGGAAAAAGATGGCAGTAGCAGCTGTGCACAAAAGCAATAGGCATCAGACAAAGGACAAAAATACTCTGTAGAGCAATGTCAGTGGCACCACGATGGAGGAGTTCTACTTCAAGCCAGGAACCATGCCAACCATAACCAAGGAGCATCAAGGCACAAACTCACTGTGGGGAAGAGGAAACTCAGATCTTGTCCCTCAGTGGTACTATTCAGTTCAGTGCAGAACCAGGGAATAGGTAATGATTTTTTAGTGATCCAGAGTGCTTTTCCTGCTTAAGTGGGGTCCTCAACCTCATGGGGCAGCTAGGTGGCACAGCGGATAGAAGACAGGGCTTGGAATTAGGAAGACTCATCTTCATGAATTCAAATGTAGCCTCAGACATTTATTGGCTGTATGACCCTGGGCAAGTCATTTAACCCTGTTTGTCTAATTTCCTCATCTGTAAAATGAGCTGGAGAAGGAAATGACAAACCACTCCAGTATTTTTGCCAAGAAACCCCAAATGGGGTCATAAGGAGTTGGACATGACTGAAAAGTGACTGACCAACAAACTCATGGTGGTTCTATAAGTCTGGAACAACTGTGTGGGTCCCTGGGGAATGTGGATGACACTAAAGAACATTTTCTTGATTGTCTATTAACTCAAGTCCATCCTAAATTCTTTGTTGTGTGTTCATAAAACTTGGTCTATGCCCCATGTCTTTGCACCCTCAGTTGATTTCAAGATAAACTGAATACCCCTAGGGAGAAGCTAGAAATTAGTCAAATTCAGACATTCCCAGAGATGAGGGCAACCATGAATCCAAGAGTATTAATTATTGAGGAACCTCTAAGATATGAACTTGGATCCATGTAAATCAAGAACTTTGGTAATTGTCTACATTGCCAAAGGATCCATGATTTCACAGATGTGAGTACTCCCTCCAATTATACTAAGTATAGCCCATCAGCTTCTTCTTATCCTGTTCATTTCTTATCTATGTCATCCTCCCAAAATCATCCACTAGCTCCACTTAATGCACTAGAAGATTTCTTCCAGGTCTTCTAACATTTCATGAGTACCGATGGGTTATCTGTCACTCTCAATATGTGACCAACCCGACCTTTCCAATCATACTTTCCCCGACTGACACGCCTTATTCTCCTCCTCGCATGCAAGCGATCATTGGTTATGTGCTTCAGCCTATGTGGTCCTATTTCCACCTCTCATAAATCTCTTCATTACCTACCATGTGTCTCTGGACTGCACTGGGAAAATTGTGCAGCACTTGTGACAAACCCAAGCTGCTGTCTGACAGAAATGTTCTTCCAGTGATATCATTTGCCTCTGAGTCATGTAATTCCCCCAGCCTCTAAAGAACTAAGATTGTAGAGAACCCAAAGAAACCTATGAAAAGGCATAAGTTGTAGCATATTACTAGTAATGAATTAAATTATCTACTTAATAGTTCAGGGAAGGAAAAAAAAAATTGTTGGTCTTTCGTATGGTCTATCCTGAAGAGTCAGTTCTAACCAGGAAGCTTGGTGGACTTACAAGAAACTTGGGGAAAAAACTGTAGTAAGTAACTGGGTAAACAGCCCAGCCTTTAGATTCCCATTCAGGTGACTGGGGCTTGGCTAGAGGGGTGACATTTACACATTATCCAGTAGCAGTTTTGTATATGGGAAGACAAATGAATGACTTTCATTTTGTCCCCTTCCCCATCCTATTGCCTTAGACCCTCATTTAGGGAGATAAGCATTTCACATTCTATTGATACCTACCCCTCCTCTATCCACCCACTCCCTCACCTGGGTTCCTCAACTCCACTCCCAAGGGCCCAGGAGGCAGGGTGCTGTTAATGGAAAGAGCACTGAGTCACAAGACCTAGCTTCAAGTTCTTGCTCTGACAATGACCCTGGGCAAGTTGCTTAATCTTTCTGATTCTCAGTTTCTTCATCTGTAAAACAGTGATAATGGTAATTCTTGTATTACTCCCCTCCCAAGAATGTTTTCGGGAAAAGAGTTTTGTCAACTGAAAAGTGCTATAGAAGCACAGGCTATTATTACCCAAATCACTAAGTGTGAATCGGTTTGGGGGGGGGGGGGAAGGGTCATCCAGGGAAGGTCTCAGCCAGTCTTGGCTGAGATTTTGGAGGGGGCAGTCTCATGTGGCTTGCAGAGACATACATAGCAGAACGTGAGGCACACCATTAACTATTTCAGGATTTTCTAGCATCATACTGTGAAATACCATAATGGTCAGCTCTCATTGAGATTGCGACCTTTTTTTTTTTGAAGACTTCATAAAGCATAGAGCAATTTAATGGGCATAAAGAGATTCACAAAATGTTAATAAAACTAATGCAAATTCCAGCATAGCTTTTCTCTTACCACCATAAACATTTAGAACGGAGAAGAATTCTAACAAACTTTACCACAGCAAAAAATAACTACTATAGATAACTGTATGTCTTACTCAAGTTTATACTCTAGGACCTTTTATGTAATGGATAGGTAACGAACAATACGGCAATACTTTCCCAGAGATCTCAGGACATTCAATCAAACGCGATTCGGTAGCTACGTTCCTGCTCCTTGCGACGACTCTCGAAAACCTTTGATACCTCTTCCACCTTCTGCTGCAACAAGACTGAATTTTGATCAATCCACTGAAGCGAATCCATATGTGCATTCAAAATTCTGCAGATCTGTTGCAGCGGGTCATTGGTGTCAGGAGGCCCTCCAGACATATTCAGGTGCTCGGTGATGTCCTTGAGGTCTTGGGCCATGCTCTTCAGTTGGGCATCTATATTCTCTGCTAGTTTATAAGTTTTCTCTCGCTCCTCATCTGCATGCTGAAGATAGATGGTCCCACTCTGCTCCTTCATGGCCTCCTCCAGAGGGGCCAGCAGGTCCTCCAGTTCTTTCTGCTGTGACAGGATGAAGTCTAATTCTTGGTCCAACCTTTTCTGATCCAGCTTCACTTTCTCTGCTTCTCTGTGCAAAGAAGTGATCTTCTCACCATTCTCAATTAATGTCCGGTCCCACGCATTCACCTGGGTGGCCTGCTGAAGGAAGTGTTTCTCCTGGTCCTCCAGTTCGAGACTCCATTTGTTGATCAAACTTTCCAGCTGAGCATAAGTCGTCACGGGGGTATGGGATGAAGGAGTCTCTTGATCCATGGTGAGCTTGGAATTGTGGTAGTGGAGGGCTCTAAGCAGCACAGGTGGTAGGGACGACGGCAATGCCAGGTATTGTCAGTGGCTTTAGATTCAAGGCAAAGCCCAAGGTGGAAGCTGAAGTGGTAGCAGTGGTAATGGAACTGGCTACACTTGTTGAGCCAGGATGTTTTAGTCTGTGAAATACTTTCAGAATTTCCTAGCACTATACTGGGAAGTACTATAATATTCAACTGTCACTGAGATTCCAGCCTTTCCTCAAACTCCATGCACATCCCCAAGTAGAGAAACTTTTCTTCACTCAAAAATTGCCCAAAGTTCACCCCTTCTGCAAAGGAGCTGCCACTCAGTACAGAAGCACAGAGACCAAAGAAGAGAGAAAAGACTGGCCAGGGCCACATTCGAATTCATGTGGCAAGATTCCAAACATCTGTTCCATGGCTGGCACTCACCACTTATTTTGCATGGGGAACAGAGTCCATATGTAGGTCATTTTTTTCCTTTAAGTACCCAGGCCTGGAGAAGATGCAGTCTATTTGTCCCTATTGAATTTCAAAACTCTTCTTGATCCACTTACAGTGAGTCATATTCTGGCTCCAAAGAACTTCGTAAGACAGCACCCCTGACTTAAACAGAGTGGGAGAAAAATCTAGCTAATTAACATAGATTTCATGGCATTCTAGGCATGGACCTGCTACACTGAATTTAACAAACATTTATTGAGTGCCTACCAGACTCAAGGTGATGCCTTGGAGGAAAAAATAAGAGAACTGACACCCATTTTTCCCAAACCTTTCTCCAAGGGTTAGTCCAAGTTTAAAGCCAAGATTCTAGTAGCCTGATGTATTTTCCACTCCGTCCCTGTCCATTCTCAGTTTCCCCTTGGAGCTAAAAGCGTAGGCAGGCTGACAGGCAGCTCTTCTTACAAGGCTCCCTCTCCTTCCTCGAAGACAGACTCAGAAGAAGTTGGCTTGGTAACCAAGTATCTGAAGGTATCAAATGAAAGAATTTATTACCAGTTTGCAATTAGGCATGCAAATGGGGAGGGCAATGGAGGAGGGAAAGTTGGAAGATGAAGACAGAGCTGGGTGGGGCCTAAGATAAAGGAATTCCAGAGATAATCCCAAAATCTAATTTTAGCAGACAGTCATCCCTTCCCCTTTCTCCCAGAGGTCTTTTATTGAAATTGATGAAGAGTGGAACTGACTGCTTGGGGATTAACTTACTCTTTTATCTGGATTCCCTTCTGGTGACTGGTTGTTGTTCAGTTGTGTCCAAATCTTCATAACCCTATTTGGGGTTTTCGTGGCAAAGATGCTGGAGTGGTCTCCCATTTCCTTCTCCAACTCATTATACAGATGAGGAAACTGAGGCAAACAGCATTAAGTGACTTGCTCAGGGTCACACAGGAAGATGAGTCTTCCAGACTTCAAGCCTGGTACTCTATCCACTGTCACCAAGCTGCCCAACAGCAACAACAAAGCTGAAAGAAAAAGGAAAAACAAATTAGCAACAGTAATAATCCTTAATAAGATGGACGGTCTCTGAATGATTAGGAATAAACTCTCTTAATAATATAATAATAATCGGGCAGCTAGGTGGTATAGCGGGTAGAAAGCTGGGCTTGGAGTCAGGAAGACTCATCTTCTGAGTTCAAATCTGGTCTCAGACATTACTAGCCGTGTGACGCTGGAGTCGTACACGACTGAAATGACTGAACAACAACATTCAATGTTGTTGTTTGTCCTTTGTTCTTGAAGGGGACCATGACATCAGGGAAGTGATCAGAACCAGGAGAATACAAGCTCCATGAAGACAAGGATTTTGTTCTGTCATTGTTTTCCAAGCACATAGCAGACACTTAATAACTACTTATATGAATTGTACTGAAATGAACCTTTTCACATTCAAGATGTCTCACTATCTTCCTTAAACTTCAATTTTCTCCCAACTTCACCTACCTCACTCTAGGGCCTGAACCCAGTTTATCAGCCATTTCATCAATAAACTCTTTACCACCCTGAAATCTCATCCTGTTCTGACTCTGACACTTCTACTAATGACTTTGTCCTTGGTTTTCTGGCTTTATAGCACAGGCAATAACTTCAGCAGGGCAGCTGGGTGGTACAGTGAATAGAACTAGAACAGTAACTAGAGTCAGGAAGACTCATCCTTCTCAATTCAAATGTGGCCTCAGACGCTTATTAGCTGTGTGATCCTGGACAAGTCACTTCACCCTGTTTGCCTCAATTTCCTCTTCTGTAAAATGAGCTGGAGAAAGAAAAGGGAAACCACTCCAGTACCTCTGCCAAGAAAACCCCAAATGGGGTCATGAAGAGTCAGGCACAGCTGAAAAACAACTCAACAACATTAACAACAAAACTAACTTTAGTGATAAGCTCTGGTGTTCTTTTTTACATAAACGATATTTAAGCTAATAAAAATTTTTTATTGTTTAAAGCAACCATTTATGTCTGTTACATTTTCACACGAACATGCTGGTTTGGTTTACACCAATCCCTAAATGTGGATCACCCGCAGAGTCTGTGGGAGCTGAACGTTACTGGAGAATGTCATTCTATTGATGGCATCCCGGGTTCACAACGTTGAGATCATTCTTGACTCTTCCCACATCCTCAATTCCCACATCAAGTCATAGGATCATTGATTTAGAGATGGAGGGAACCTCTGAGGTCATCTCATCCAAGCCCCTCAGTTTTACAGAGGAGTAAACTGGAGCCCAGAGTGGTTAGTTGACTTGTGCAAAGTCACACAGGCCTTAAGTGATGAAGGCAGGATCAGACTTTTGGAGGCTTCTAACTCCAGAACCACCCATAGCCTTTCCCCTCTCTGGATCACACTGCCTCTCAGGAGATAGCCATGTCTTGTTGGCTCTACCTGTACACAACACCTCTCACATACGTCCTCTTCCCTCCATTAAAATAACCTTCACCCTCCTTCAGGACTCTAACCTGGACTATTTACAAAAAATTAATTGGTCTCCCTAACTCCAAACTCTTTTGTCTCCAATCCATCGTTCACATAGCTGCCAAATTCTTATTCACAAAACACACATTTGACCATATGTTCTATGAAGCCTGAACGTGAGACGAGGACCCTGCAGGGAGTGGCACAGAGTTCATCTGTCAGCTTTTGCTTTCTACCAGTGGGTTTGTAATACCATGCTTCCCCATGGTAGGTATGGCTTCTGACAAATTAAATCCTAGCCCGGCTTATGCTTTAAGGAAGGAGACCACAAGGGGCTTCCTGGGCAGGTCAGGGTAAACAAGCCCAGTCCTTTGGATACTCGCTGGGAAAGAGCACGCTGGCAGCAAGTGCGGAACAATGCATCAATCACGCTTTAATAAGGCACAGAGAGTATAGAGGCAGACTGCTCGGGGACAGAGTAGGGAATGGGCTGGGAGACAGAGGTAGACAGCAAGGGAAATAGATGGGGGAGTGAGAGGGCCACATAACTTCAGAGAAGCCTTGGGAGCCATCTGGCAGCATGGATCCACAGCACTTAGAGGAGTGCTCAAGGGGCAGGGTTTTGGGGGTTCTAGTCTTATAGGGTTCCAGGAGGGGGGGCAACTAAGACTTAGCCGCATCACCTCAAAGTTGCCTCATGAATATATCTTTTTTTAAGTTTTACTGGGCATGTCTATAGCTTATTTATAGCTTGCAGGCTGAGGGTCTTTTTATGGGGGCCAGTTTCTCTTTATTTAGCACATATAGTTTCTGGATACGGCCTTAATTAATTTAGGAAGCAGCTTTGATCACTTGCTTCTCTGTTTTCTCCTTACACTCTTAATTACTATTTCCTATTTATTGTTACTTTATACTAGCTCTTACATACTCATTTCCCATATTACTGGTGGAGTGGTGGTGGGACCACAATAGACACAATTTCAATGCACTACAAGGTCATAGATTTCGAGCTGAAAGGGATCTTAGAAGTAATCTAGTCCAATCCTCTCATTTTACAAACGATGAAACTGAGGCCTGGGGAGGCTAAATAACTCTAGGGTCATACAGTCCAAGGTCACACAGGTAGTAAATATTTTAAACCAAGGTCCTCTGATTCCATAGGCAATGCTTTATCTACTATAACATACTATCTCCCAATGCTATACTCCCACTAAAAAATCTTCAATGGCCCCTCGTTGTCTTTAGGACAAAATACAAAATCTTCAGCCAGACATTTAAAGCCATTGACTAACTCTCCCCCACTTCTATTTCCAATTTTTTCCTATTATACTACTTTATACACTGTACATTCCAGTCAAACAGGTATTCCATCTCCATTTCTATGGTTTTGCATGTGGTCCCCATTTGTGGAATTCACTGTCTCCTTACGCCTGCTTTGTAGAGGCCTTTGTTTCCTTCAAAGCTCCATACCACTTCCTGTGTGAGGCCTTTCTTGATGCCCCCTATTATTAGTATTCTCTCCCTCTTGAAATTGCTCTGCAGTATTTTGAATATACTTTCTTGTGTATACATTATTTCCCCCAAACATAACCTTTTTTTTTGGCTTGTTTTTGGTGAGGCAATTGGGGTTAAGTGACTTGCCCAGGGTCACACAGCTAGTAAGTGTTATGTGTGAGGCCGGATTTGAACTCATGTCCTCCAGACTCCAGGGCTGGAGCTCTATCCACTGCGTCACCTAGCTGCCCCCAAAACATAACCTTTCTGAGGAGTGAAATTATTTTGTTTTGTCTCTGTTTCTCCAGCACAGTAACCTGTAAGCACTTAATTCACTTAATGGTGAACTGAATTCATGACACCAATTTGGATTCACAGATTTTTCTTCCTTTGCACCCACATCTATTCGGCTGCTAAGTCCTGTAGCTTCTTCCTTCAAGATACCTTCTGGGTACAAGGAGCTGCCATAATATAGTAGAAAGAAACAATAAAAAGAGAGCTCTCTGCTTCTCTTGAAATATCAGTTTCATATCTTCCCTTCCATTCCCACTGCCACCAAGCTAGTCCAGGCACTCATCGCCTCAACCCTCAACTTCAGCAACAGCCTCCAAATGAATATTCTTCTCTCTACACGATTGGTTTTTAACCTGGCATACATGAAGTTTGTTTGTTTGTTTTATGTTTTGATGACTATATTTCTGTATAACTTATTTTCTTCTTAATCTTATGGATTTTGTTTTGTATATTTAAAAGCATTATTATGAGAAGTGGTCCACAGGCTTCACCAGACTGCCAAAGGTGTCTTTTTTTTTTTTTTTTTTTTGCTTTTTAGTGAGGCTAAATCGAGGTTAAGTGACTTGCCCAGGGTCACACAGCTAGTAAGTGTCATGTATCTGAGGTCATATTGAACTCAGGTCCTCCTCACTCCAAGGCCGGAACTCTATCTACTGTGCCACCTAGCTGCCCCCAAATGTGTCTTTGACACAAAAAGTTTAAGAATACCTGCTCTACACAAGCTTGTGATCTGATTTATTCTTCATACCACAGCCAGAGTGACTTTCTCTATTTAAAAAAAAATAGTGGTTTCTTACTGTCTACTAAGAGTACAGACTCTTTAGTTGGATTCAGGACTTTCCATCATCTGACTACAATTCACCTTTCCAACTTTATCTCCTACTATTGCTCTCTTAAAAAATTTTGACTTTCGCCAGTTTAGTATAGTCACTGTACTCCAAATGTGCTTTGTATATTCTTGATTTGGGGCCTTTTCACACCCTGGTTCTCTCATCTATATAAATGTAACTTATTCTTCAAAAACCAACTCATGTCCTGCCATGTCCATGAATCACTTCCAGAAAACCCATGGTTAGTCAGCTTTATAGTATGGTTACTGATTCTAATCAATCAAGTGTTTATTTAGCATCTACTATGCGCTGGGTACTTTTCTAGGTTCTGAGGCTACAAAGACAAAGGTGAGAGTCCCTGCCCTCAAGGAGCTTACATTCTAGCCAAAGGAGACAACATGTCCACAGACAGACATGTACAAAATAGATATAACATAATCTTGTAAGGAAGGCACTAGCAACTGACAGGTAATAGGAAAGACTTCATGTAGAAAGTGGTACTGAGCTAACTCCTGAAGGAAGATGGAGATTGCAAAAGGGTGATTTGAAGAGAGAGTGCATTCTAGGCATGAGGGAGAGCCAGTGCAAAAAGCATGAAGAGAAAGGACAGAGTGTCACATATGAGGAATAGTTAGAAGGCCAGCTTGGCTATACTGGACCATTCATGGAGGGGAGTAAAATGATAATAAACTTAGAAAGTTAGGTTGGAGTCAGGTTGTGAAGGGCTATAAATGCCGAACAGTTTATATTTAATCCTAAACTACTGGAGTTGATTGAACTGGGGGGGGGGGGTGACATGGTCAGACCTGAGCATTAAGATAATCACTTTGGCAGCTATGTACAAGATGGATTGGAATAGAGAGAGTTACCACAAGGGCATCAATGAGGAGGCTATAGCAACAGTCTAGGTGACAGATGACTGGGATCTGGACTAAGG